CACTGCGCCCAGAAAATACTCGTCGTCATCGTCGTCGCTGCTGCCGGAAGGTGTTGCGACGGGAGCTCTGGACAGGCAGTCGGCGTCGCTGTGCTTGCGGCCTGACTTGTAGACGACGGTCATGTTGAACTCTTGTAGTCGGAGACTCCACCGCGCGAGGCGTCCTGACGGGTCCTTGAGGTTCGCAAGCCAGCAGAGCGAGTGGTGGTCCGTGACTACCCGGAACGGGCTCCCGTATAAGTACGGACGAAACTTCGTGATTGCCCAGACGACCGCAAGGCATTCTTTCTCAGTCGTGGAGTAATTTCTCTCTGCCTTGGTCAATGTCCGACTTGCGTAGGCGATGACTCGCTCGGTGCCTTCTTGTACTTGAACCAAAACCGCGCCAAGCCCTGCCTTACTTGCGTCCGTGTGAATCTCGGTTTCCGCATCCTGGTCGAAATGTCCAAAAACAGGAGGAGTCTGCAGTCGTCGCTTCAGCTCGTCAAATGCCTGCTGCTGTTCATCGGCCCATTCGAACTTCTCGGCGTCCTTCGTGAGGTGTGTGAGCGGTGCGGAAATTCTTGCGAAATCTCGAACGAAGCGCCGATAGTAGGCACATAGCCCAAGGAACCTTCGGACGGCCTTCTTGTCTCTTGGCGCTGGAAATGCTGCGACGGCACGAGTCTTCTCGGGGTCAGGTAGAACACCCTTGTTGTTCACGACGTGGCCAAGGAACTTTAGTTCCCCATAGGCGAACCGACACTTTGTTGGCTTGAGTGACAGGCCGGCGGTCTTGATGGCTTGAAGCACGGCTCGAAGTCGTCTGAGGTGTTCGTCGAAGTCGCTGGAAAACACGAAGACGTCGTCGAGGTAGACGAGACAGCTCTGCCACTTCAGTCCTGCCAGTACGGTGTCCATGACACGTTGGAAAGTTGCTGGCGCCGTGCACAGTCCGAAGGGCATCACTTTGAACTCGTACAGTCCATCCGGCGTGACGAAGGCTGTCTTTTCTCGGTCCCTTTCGTCGACTTCGATCTGCCAGTAGCCGCTCTTCAGGTCCATCGATGAGAAATATCGAGAGTGGCGCAGCCGGTCTAGAGTGTCGTCGATGCGGGGGAGTGGGTAGACATCTTTCTTCGTCACCGTGTTCAGCTGCCGGTAGTCTACACAGAACCTGAGCGTCCCGTCTTTCTTCTTAACCAGTACGACTGGAGAGGCCCAAGGACTGCTTGAAGGTTGAATTATGTCGTCGTTCAGCATTTCTTGAACTTGCTCCTGGATCGCCTGCCTTTCTTTAACGGAGACTCTGTATGGCGATCGATGCACAGGGCGCGCGTCGTCCTCGGTAACGATGCGGTGCTTCGCAAGGGTGGTTTGGCGCACCTTCGACGACGTGGCAAAGCAGTCGCGGTATTCGGCGAGAAGGTTAATCAACTGTCGTCGTTTCGGGCCCGGGAGTTTAGGGTCAATGTCGAGCTACGCTGGCGACGCACTGTCTTGCTGAGGTGGCGAGAATTCGTCAGTAATGGCGGCGACTGCGGCGGAGTTTTGGAGTTCCTCGACCTGGCCCACGGCTGCACCTTTTGTGAGGTGTTGCGCTTCATTTCGGAAGTTCGTGACGAGGACCACAGTGCGGCCATCCTGAAGTTCAGCAACGCCTCTTGCGACGCCTATTCCTCTTCCCAGAAGCAACTGGAGGCTTCCTTCGAGCAGAACTTCGCCGCAGAAATCTTCGGTGATCCCGACGGGTACGAAAACACTCGACCGCGGCGGTAAGTTCACGTGGCTGGCGAGGACTCGGACCGCAGATGACGTCGCTTTGGGTTCCTCCGGTGGTGAAACAGGCTTTCGCAGCGTCAACCGGTTTGCTCCGAGGTCGATGACGGCGCCATACTCGCAGAGGAAGTCCATTCCGAGGATAACGCCCCTCGAACAGTCTTGCAGAACGACGAACTTTACAGGGCACGTCTCACCGTGGATCTCGACGCGAGCGGTGCATCGCCCGACTGGTGTGATGAGGTGCCCACCGGCGGTTCGTATTTGAGGGCCCTCCCACGTAGTTGTCACTTTTCGCAGGCGGCGGGAGAGCCTCCCACTCAAGACTGAGTAGTCTGCTCCGGTGTCCACGAGCGCTGATGCGTCGTGGCCGTCGATGATGACGTTTAGGTTATTGGACACCGTTGCAGGGGCGTGCTTTCGATCTCTGGTAGCGTTCGAGTGGGGGCCCTCCGACGTTCGTGGAGGATCTTGGCGTCGGTCGTCTTCGGCAACTCCACCTCCAGGGGTTGCCGCGCCTAGTTTCCCCGGCGAGGAGCGAGGGGCGACAGGCTTTCACGTCGGGGTCGGTGCATCGGCGAAGCTGGACGTCGTGGCGACGGCGACCGGAACTCTCGGCGGGACGTAGGCTCGGGGGACTGAGGTCGTCGCAGGTACTCGTCGATCTCCCGAGGGCGTTCACCATATCGGGGTCGCGGGTCGTTCGGGTGGAACCCGCGCAGCCCGAGTCGACGGTATGGGCATCGGCGGTAGGTGTGGTCTGCTTCCCCGCAGTGGAAGCACAGAGGGCGTCGGTCGGGCGTTCGCCACACATCGGTCTTCCGGGGTGCACGGGGCTCCTGACTGGCGTACTGGAGCTGGTCGTCGCGGCGTCGGTCGTGCTGCGGCGCAGGAGAGTGACGTCGGGGGTACTGCGGCGTTGGGGCGTCTCTTCGGGGTGGCGCCGTGGCTTGGCGGGAAGCTTGCGGCGGTCGTCGGGCCATGGCGGCGTAGCTCAACGTCGGTTCCTCCGGTGCCACCCTGGTGACGGGAACCTCTGGTTGGAGCGCTCGATGCACTTCTTCTCGGACAGCCTCGGCGATGGAAATGGTTGGCGGACGGCTGGTGGTTGGCAGCAACCTTCGCAGTTCCTCCCGGACAACCTCCCTGATAATTTCGCGGATGTCCGTACCAGGCACGTTTTCACCGCTAAGCGGCGCGGTTGCAGTGACGCTTGGCTGCCGCTGGTAGTGGGAAGCGCGCGCTTGGAGGGCGCGCTCGATGTTTGTCGCCTCGCTGACGAAGGCGTCGACCGTTGCCGGCGGGTTGCGGACGAGGCCTCCGAAGATGTCGTCCTTCACGCCCCGCATCAAAATGCGCAGCTTCTTTCCCTCGGTGGCCTGAGGATCGGCGCGGGAGCTCAGGCGGAGCACGTCCTCCACAAAGCTCGTGACGCTTTCATTGGGGCCCTGGGTCCTGGTTCGCAGTAGGTCCTCGGCTCTCTCTCGGCGGTGGTGGTTGACGAACGTAGCCTTCAGGTCGGTCTTGAAGATGTCCCACGACGTCAAAGAGAACTCATGGTTCTCGTACCAGTGCTTGGCGGTTCCCTCAAGCGAGAAGTAGACGTTGTGCAGGCGTTGCTCGTCGGTCCAGCCATTGTGGCGGGCAACGCGTTCATACTGGTCAATCCAGTCTTCGACGTCTTCGTAGAGTTCACCGTGAAAGGGGGCAGCCGTCCGCGGTGCGACGGGCATGTAGACGACGGGAGAAGCGGCGGGGGCTTGCGACTGGTTGGCCATTGTCGTCTTCTGCGGCTTGGGCTTGTCCAGGAGCAAACCGTACTCCGGATCCTCTCCCTTGGTGCGGCGGCTGGTCCGAATTTCAGGTTCAGCGGTGAGTGGTCTTCTCCCCGAGCCGGCAATCGGACTTGCACTGCGGTCCCTTGGAGGGGAACGCTGCACGGGCATGCGGTACCCCGCACCTCCACCAAAATGTCACGGGTAGTGACCAAAAATAACAAATAAACAGGAAGAAATAAACGTTTAATGTGGCGAACTTGTGCCAAACATAAAAGAGTACAAAAGATAATAATAGAGCGTCGCGGGCGTCGAAGTCGGCGTGGCAGCAGAGTCGAATGCTGGGGCGAGACTGACTCGACAAGGTCGCGGGCGGCCTCTTATCTAGAGTGCGTCGCTATCTCGAAGATTCGGCGAAAGCGGCTCGAGCGTCGCGTGATCGGGGCGAGAATGAACACGCACTTTCTAGAAAACAAAAGCAGAAGATACATGGATATAAATAATAGAAGTTACGTGCGCTACATGAATAAACGGGAACTTTCTGGAGGTCCGTGACCGAGCGTTGCTTTCTCAGCCCTGCGCGCGGCAATATCACTCAAACGTCCAATTTTTGCTTACTGACACGGTTATACTTTTGATATATCGTGACATGTTTACGGCATTGTAACTTCTGGATTGTTTGCTGGAGCCAGTAAACTAAAAGTTACGAATCTTTCATTTAAACAGGCATGGGACGTTTTCACCTTATTGATGCGTGTAAAATTAAATATACTAGTTAGACTATACTAGACTGCTCCTCTCTTTTTGTTTACAAAGAACAAAAATAAATGAATCTAGCTTAATAACCACATCGCTTCAAAAGGGTACGACACTGTAATTCGCAACAATTATGATTCGACGCTGAATTTTGTTCGCAAACCATCAATACAAAAAGGTCCTTCTATAAAAAGTGAGTTATCAAAATCCCCTCTCGAGCAATATAAAGTTCAGCCTTTTTTCGTTAAAATGAAACTAAAAGCATTGCTATGACCTATTGGTAAATTTGGTAGAGCTAACTGAATTGTAGCATAATATTGAGCCCAAATTCCCTCATTAATATTTTAACAACGCAAATGCATATCGAATCCGTCTTTATGGTAAACTGTAGCGTATATCTTTGCAAAACAATGGTTGGCAAAATTTATTAATGAAAGAATGTTTTGTTCTCGCGAAAGTTCCCTGCATTCGGTATGTCACGGTTATGTGATTCAAACTACGTGATTTATTCCAGATATTATAGTAAAACTTACCATACTGCCGTGCCTCAGCATGCAGAAAAATGAAGCTGCTTCAAATAAAGGTACCTTGACAGGCGGTTTCGCAAATTACTAGGGAAATCATGAGCGACTTTCCAGGTAGATATTTGTTTAGGCTGTTTTTCAAAGCAATGATTAGTTTTAAAAGATATTGGTACTTTCCATTATTTATTATGGATTTTTACTGTTCTTCTTACAGGTCCGGGGGCAGGAATTGTCAGCAAAGTTTGGCCCAAGACCCTGCTAGTTACGAGCTCTATTGTGTCGGCGGTCGCATTGGCTTGCTGCTACTTGATTTTTGGACTTCTATCATGGACGCTGTTACTCGGACTTCTGTTTGGTGAGTAGTGAGAAGCGTTCGAGGGAAGTTTAATGTTTGTTCAGATTTTGTGCTGGCTTACTCTCTTTAGTTTTGGTAACGCTTATTTCCCAAAAGCACAGTTGCCGATAACGAAGTTTTATTGCGTTAAATATTGATTTGCTTGAACTCTGTACGATAAACATTTCTTATTTGATCATAGTAGGGCAAGTTACGTTGAAAATGCTAATTAACTTTGGCCACCAGTACCCCTGCTTCCAAAGTATCTTATTAAAACTAAAATACCCACCGCACGAAAACTAATTAATTACTAGTCTGGCATTTTTACGCCCCTTTGGGGTATTCGCTATACGGCGGTTTACGTTCCTCACATCTTGTGCCTTTGAGTCGCCTGTCATATTAACCGTGGTGCACTATATGGAGGCTGTACGAGTCAGTAGTTCCATTACTTTGCAGCACAAGACTGTTATTTTAGTTTCATCGGTATATTTTTGCAAAAATAAGTTATCTAATAGTGTCTGTAGATACAGAAAGAACCAAATGGAGACTCGAGTTTATATTTTTAGAAATAATCGACATTACACGCGGTAAGACATTCAATGTGACCGTTGTAATCACATTAGTTTTTTTTTATTCAACCTGAGAATGAAAGAGATTGCACTCGCACCTTACTATGTGGAGTATCTTCTGTCCATTCCTGTGTTAGTCGCGGCGTTGGCAGTAGCTCAGTTGTGCGTGCACTGTCGATGCCCCGGCGCAGTCTCAGTCCTTTTAAAGTCCGGCAAGCCGACTGTAGGGCAATGAGGCAGACGGCCAGGAAAGCCTTGCCCGTTAGTCACCCCATAAGATTTAACTCCAGCGCGACAGTAAAAAAGTACTTGTGTTTGTAATTTAAGTTTTCTAAACCATGAACCTTAAATATTAATTAAAATGAATCTACAAGTAGTTGCAGTTGAAAGCAATAAGTCACAATTACAAAAAACCCAGAAATACAAGTATATATTCGCCATTCAATTACTACAAATGAATTACTAGCAAATAATAAATTTGATTTGGTTTCCAAACTTGAACATCATTCGCTGATTGTACTCATCGAAACACAACTTTAGCATTAAATAGCCACTAAAATATGAAAGCCGTTTACAATTACCTGTAACCCCGGTTAGAGCGCAGCTCTTGAGGAGGAAGATGGAAGCGTACTGAGGGATAGGTGACTCCTTGAGGTCACGTAACCTCAAGGGGGTCACGTGACCTCAGGGGGTCACGTGACGTCAGGGACTCACGTGACCTTTGGGGGTCACGTGACCTCGGGGGTCACGTGACCTGAAGGGGTCACATGACCTCAAGGTGATCACGTGACCTCAAGGGGGTCACGTGACCTTTGGGGGTCACGTGACCTGAGGGGCTCACGTGACCTTTGGGGGTCACGTGACCTGAAGGGGTCACATGACCTTAGGGGGTCACGTGACTTCAGGGGGTCACGTGACGTCAGGGGGTCACGTGACCTGAGGGGCTCACGTGACCTTTGGGGGTCACGTGACCTCGGGGGTCACGTGACCTGAAGGGGTCACATGACCTTAGGGGGTCACGTGACCTCAAGGGGTCACGTGACTTCAGGGGGTCACGTGACCTCAGGGGGTCACGTGACCTAGGGGTGTCACGTGACCTGGGTGGGTCACGTGACCATCTTGAGGTCACGTGACCCCCAGATCACGTGACTTCAGGGGGTCACGTGACCTTAGGGGGTCACGTGACTTCAGGGGGTCACGTGACCTCAGGGGATCACGTGACCTCAGAGGGTCACGTGACCTCGGGGTGTCACTTGACGTGGGTGGGTCACGTGACCCCCAGAAGTCACGTGACCTCGGGGGGGGGGGGGTCACGTGACCATCTTGAGGTCACGTGACCCCCAGAAGTCACGTGACTTCAGGGGGTCACGTGACCCGTGACCTCAGGGGGTCACGTGACTTCAGGGGTCACGTGATCTCGGGGTGTCACGTGACCTGGGTGGGTCACGTGACCTCCGGGGGGTCACGTGACCTCGCGGTTACGCCGACGGCGACGGCGACGCCGCTCAAGCCGGAAACGGGCCCCTAAGAGCTGCGCTCTAAAATGGTTCACTCTATGCGTCTATTTTAGCGGGCTCGATATTTAGCGTGTGTTGCAACGGTGCCGGCAGAAGGGATATTTCGCTGGCAAAAGTTTCGTGATCAGGAGTGGTATGTATGTAATCATTTCTTTCTGTGATAAATTTTTCTTACTTTTTTTTACATCGTTAATTCATTTAGAGTTTCTGAGAAATTACGTATTAAGAACATTGATTGATTTTCAAACAAATGAAGTCTGGGTTTTTGTAGCTCTGGCACGTGCAGTTGGCGGACTAGAGAAGTACAACAAAGAGTCTCTATTAAATTTTGTTTAATCTATTGACTTGTTTTCTAACCACTCTTTCTTTACACGTATTACCTGAATAGCTCCCTTATTTACTTTAAGTTATTGTTCTACATTTTTTCTTTATGGTACAGATTGTCGCCTTAGGGCAAAGGCAAAAGCTGGCAGGATGGGCACCACTACTTATACACCGAAAGGCGTCGCAAAATAGGCCATTTGAAGTGTGATTAGTCAAAACGCAAATTACGCAGACGACTTCTTTAGCTCTAAACACTGCGGTAGTACCTACAGTTTTTACGGTTGTTCCGGTTTTCTTCACAATTTATAGAAAATGTCTTGAGGTGAATTTTTTAATAATATGAAGGTAATACTTGGTTAGCCAGATTCAGAACGCGCATTGTTTTGTTTCGTATAAGGACATTACCTTTTTTTTTTAAATGTATGAGATTTTGTACGCGTTCCAACATGTTCTACAACATATTTATTCCCGTGACGTACGGCACGTCTAGTTCTAGAATAAAAACCGCTTATATTTTATCCTTTTAAATAAAGATATAAAAAGTTTCGCTGTCGCCATAATAGTCTGCTTTTAACTCTTGGTGCTTAAGGCTGCGGTCCCACGGCGGCCATGACATATGACGCTTTCAGCACGTTTTCGAAATGCGATCGTGGCGTGTTCAAGCTTGCTAAAATTATGTGTTATATATCATCTTGTAGTGTACAACATTATCTTTTATCTGATGTAGGATTTCTTTTCCTAGTGCAAAAAGCTAATTCAGAGGGCACCCGCGAACATTGACCTTTTCGGCAAAACATGGTTTCGTAGTACAGTGGTACAGGGTGCACTATTGGATCAATTTCTTTCTAATTTTGGAATGTTATAGAAGATGAGTGCGTTCATTGTCAACGGAGGCCCTTTTTTCGTTTTTTATTTTATTTTGACAGATATTTACTTTAGAAAAATTGACTTTGCGGAAGCACTTCAGTCGCGAAGTTTTGGGCGCCTACTCGGTCATTTTATTTGAAACTTTTTACATCAGTTTGTAATTATGGTCGAAAGAGTTACGCTAAATTTCATTGTAATATGGCTTAAACTTTTTTCGGAATGCTCACGTGAAAAGTGACAAAAACCGTTAATTTTGGCAAACTTCATTTGGTAGTACAGTGGTACAGCGCTTAGGGATTGGCACACATGAATAAAATTGTAGGCCCGCAAAGAAAAACATATTCTGCTTTGCAAAGCGAGGCCCTTTTTCTAAATTTCACTTTTGATTTTCCATAAAAAAAGTTTGAATATAGGCGAAATCACGTATTTGTTGATAGTCAAAAACGAGTATTTTGACCCCTTTTGGCAGACATTTAGGCCGATATTTTTAGTATTAAATGGAGATTACTGTTCCAGGTCCTGATTATTAGCCCACATTTTCACTAATCGAGCCTATTTATTAAAAAGAATCATAAAACACACAGAAAACACAAATTGGATGTCTGGTTGCGCCCTCTATGTGGCGGTGGCTGAAATGTGACTACGCGAGGTTCAGGAAACTGCCGAGGATGGCGCTGATTCCAGCTGTGGTTGCCAGCTTCGGAAACTGGTTGTACACTTGGCTTCTTCCGTTTCTTGCAAAATAACGTGCTGGAAAACTTGGTCGAAACTTGTGAGGTCCTTTATAACACGGTACTTTCTGCTAATATAGCTTTTAGGAAGAATTTAAGTCGCTTTCATATTGTTAAACGATTTTTTTTTATGCGAGGCTCCACCGGTTCAGTTTGCTGAATAAATTGTTCACGGAATCGATATCGAAGTTTCAAATTACCGAGATGCCAAAATCGCCAGTTCTGCGTAGATACGCAGCGTGACGCACGTGCTTCTGGTGCGTGTGCACGTACGTGTTTGCTGCGTAGTTCTTCGGTTGCTGCGAGTTTTCGCGTATTTATTGTGCACTGCTTACCTCCGTCTGCGCACGCATCTCATCCTTGTAACTACCCCTGCTCCGTTTGCCTAGAGTGAAGTTTGTGTCTGTCTTTTCGTTCGCTGACTAAGCTCGTGTCGGTGTCCTTCCTACTGGCTGCTGTTCGTGTGTGCGTACCGTGTGTGTCGCTTTGATTACTAGGTCCCCTGCTTATGGGGTGGAGCAAGCGGTGGGCGTCGCGCCAGGGGTGGGTCGTGATTGGGGAAACAGCTTAGCAGCCGACGCCGACTTCGGCGCGTTTCTTCTGCGCACGCGCGTACTGTCATTGATATCGCTACTTCGCGCCGTGACGATGCGCTGATCTACAGGCCGGTCGGCGCTCGCGTGATATTGTTCTCTGAAAACAGATTGCTAGGAGTGCCCTCTCATTCGCTGGTTCCACGCTGGGTGCGCGCAGTCCGTGCTTCTGGCCTCCCGGGCCGCCCAAATGCGTTTTTCTGATGCTTGTTTTGTTTTCAGTAAACAGACAATAGATTCCTGCTGATATTCTCCTTTATAATCTTCACTCTTGACAACTCTTTAGTGTTGGAAGGAACTCCGTCAAATTTGACGATAATGCATGTGTAAGTACAACTGGAACCTCATAGTTGCAAGAATACTTTTCCTGGATTGTCTGCATTAGAGTGCCTCCATGTGCGCTTCGCGCACATGAAGGCT